ATGCAAGGATTTGTAAGGAGACGTTTAGAATTGCCGAGCACGAATGAAAGTGATGTGTTTTACTGCAGAAGGACGAGATCATTAGACTTTTTTGGGTTTTGTTGTAACTCGTGACAAAGTGCCGGGAAAGTTTGAAAAATATTCACACAACATGAAAGTTTCTCCTGTGAGTTCTTGCACGAATCAGTAGGCGTCTTGTTGCTTGTGGAAGAGGCGTTTACTGCACTGAACTTGAATATTTATGTTAAACATTTCCAAATATAACAATTTATGAGAAAATAATTCTACAGCATAATGATGTATTATCACGAATGTGCGTAACAAATCTACAGAGTTATGAAACCAAACTATTGACGTATTTCAGATGCATGCCAGCTTAAGCCTCTCAACGCCACTGATTTTGTCTGTTCATTGTACAGTAACGTTGGTCTTCCTTTCAGGAGGCAGAGACTGTTGATCCTAAATGTGGATTTTATTTGTTTACTCCAACCGCCTGAATTCTTTGTTACTGGTGTATACACACAGAGCCTAAAATAAGATTTCTGCGTAATGTAGCAACTGATTTCACAGCAAGCAACGAGAAAAGTGAAAATAATGCTGTGTGTGCTTTCAACCAAAGCACGACAGTCTTTGGATTCCGAGATTTCATACAAAGTCGAAACCGTATGACAATAATAGACATCGTAATTTAGCCACTTCATTAGTTTCTCGCGAACAGAATTTAGGCAGATTCCATTCGTGCTTTCAGAAGTTGGCAACGGCGTGTTACGACCTAGGACGGTAACAAGTGCGAAGTATAACAATCGCCCGAATAAAGTATTTGATTGATATTCATTGTTAGTATCCGAAGGGAAACTTTTTTCAGATAAATTACGTGAGATGTGCGGGCGGTAAGTTCAGGTCATAAGAACGTTTGTTGCAGTCGAATTGTGAGTCAGCGAAGGCTTGAAGCACATTTCTTGTGGCTTGCGATGCTCTTTCAATTTAGTTGATTCAGTTGAAGTCGACGTCAGTGAACGGTTCAAAGCGGCGTCTCTGCTTTCAGTATCAAGTAGCTGCACTTTCTTTGGGGGTAAAGTCTTAAAGGTTACTTTTCTGTAGTGCCGAAGGAAGTGCTCCTGTCCGTCCGCACATTTCGGCAAGGAAAAGCCGCTGCTGGTAGCACAGCGGGTTTTGTTACGTGAAGCGATCCTTTTTTGTAGTCTGCTTGGACGGCATGACGAATGGCGGTGTAATGGAAGACCTGAATACATTCTGCTACTTTGTACAAGTGAAAGCTTCCAGTCGTCACTCCATCTCCGTTTTAAAACAAACTTTCCTGAAATAATGAAGCTGCTAACTTATTATAACAGTCTTCATGCACACACACAGGAAAGTAACTGAGGTGATATTAATAGTTTTAATGGCTATCGATCAGCGAAATATTTTCTCTTTTCCTTGCGTCCGGCCGAAGTGTCACAGCGACATTGCTCGTCCGTACGTTCCCACCCAAATGACACCTGCACATGAAATCATTTGTCACGGATTTATGCCACTACTGCGTTCAAGGCCCGGACTAATGGAGCAGGCAGGATCTCTCCGTCTCCTTGTATAAATTCAGTGAAGCTATTTCAGGGTTCATTCAAAACAAATACCACACGGTTCTTCTGTGCAAGCGCCTCGCACATCGGTTCTGCTCTGAATTCGTCTCTCGTCTATGGACCAGAAATCACGCGCGCTGCATCGGCTCTGTTACTAGCAAAGTAATGAATGTGCTGGTCGGTCACATTCCTTAGTTTGAACAGTTCAGGAGGCTGCTGCAGGATGTCTCTTTGCTCTTATGAATGGTTTCGCCTCCCCTAAGACAGTCGAGTTATCCTTGAACCCGAAGGCTCGACGCTTTCTTACTCAAAGCCCGCGACTGAACCGACACAAAAGACGCCAGACTTTAAAACATTTTTCGCTGAGGCACTCTTTAATATTATCCTCCCAAAGCGTCGCCTTTCACCGTAACAACTGCGGGTCCTGAAGTCGTATTCCCCAGTCCCTTGGGTCCAAATATTCTTCTCGGTTGGCGCCTAATTCTGTTCTTTCAGACTTTGTCAGGAAGAAGTCTTCATAATTTTGTAAATTGCGCTTCGGATTTTCAGAGTACCAGTAATTGTTGTATGAGGGCATTTTTCTAGACTTTGGTTTCGAAATGTAGAAATTATAGTTTATTCTACAGAGAATTTAACATCGTCGCTGTCTTGCTAAAACAGGAATTTGTTGTGAAGTGGACGCCCATCAGACAAATATTTACCCAAACAGGCTTCATTGAAGGTTCTTTCCAAACAGCTTTTACTACCAAACGGCGACAGGAGACATTTATTGCATTCCAGGCTGCAAGCCGTGCGCCAGTTGCTGAATGAGAGAACTGCCTTCGCCACGCTTTTGTTCCGCTCCGGCTAAAATGTTTATTTGTCCGAGCCAAGAATTCTGTGGATGCAACAGCACTTATTTCTGATAATAATAAAAAAGTGCGTTTGATCGCATTACGTCACACATGACGCGAACTGTTTGGGTTCTGTTCGTGAATACACCATGCTGGAACCTGCGCAACTGGCGTGAGCAGCGGCCTAGCAACAAACATGTGACCTTGACCCGAATGTTACGCCGGAGCCTCAGATTTCGATTTCATTTCGTGATTGTGGTCCACGTCTCCCAGCTTCGGTCTTCTGCACGAGGCGCAAAATACGATCTTGGCAAGTTCGGGCACATGCAGGGTTAACGAGAGGATTTTTACAAGCCCAGAACGTGAGAAAAGGCAGCTAAGCCACAGCCAGCTTTCTCGTGGTATAGACTAGGCGCATCTTGGACAGCTGCATTCTGCCAGATAATAATTTTCTTCGTTGACGTTTCTGTTAATTTGATGCCGAGTGACAGGCATATTAGAAAAATTTCGTCTGTCGGACGACGTTTTGTGTGTGTGGTGGTCCGTGGTCTGTTATACGTGATGCATTTTTACTCTTTCGGACGCTTGGTTTGTTCTCTTCGTCAGGTCGACTTACCCTGGAGGTGTGAGGTACTTTAAGTCAGTAAGCCTTTTACCCACAGACGAATATCGTGCTGAAGTTTCAGGAAGTCTGAAGCCAGCTGAAGAGTACAGTCCGTTTTCACTGGTAGAATCATTGCGTGGAGCATTTTCAATTTGTTTCAGTGGAATTCCTTCCTGTTCGCATGTTTCGGACTAGTCGTTCGCCGTCTGCTTCGCTGCCAGACTGATCTCGTCAATGCGTCGGTTAACTGCCGTCTGGCCGTGGCGTCTTGCGCACGAGACGGTCTTCTGAATGCATTTCGGGGTGCTCACTCTCAAGTAAATATAGCCTACGCGTTTGCTTGAGTTCTTCGGCTTACACCGAGACATATTTCGTAAGACTGGAAAACTCCCAGCTCCTGCAATTTCGTTTTAGTGATGAGCTAGATAAGTGCAGTCGCCTGTGCTGTTAGGCGTTCTTTGCGCGATGCGCACAAAATGAACGCGCTCCGGACCGGTCGTTTCTGCAAATATTTCTGTTCGAGAACCGCTGGACGGATTTGGATACAATTTGGTACGGGAATTATGCCACCGAAAAGGCAAGTCCTACTCTTAAAGCTTGGAACGGTACGTACAAACCGCGCCAAGGTCCGAGTTTCGCTCCGTTCTGGCGGCTGCCGGACGGGACGCTCGGGATTCAGTTGAAGACCAGCGCAGATGGAAAGGGTCTTCGGCAGTAGCAGTGGGCCCAGTTGAACGATGTCACGTACAGGGCATTGGCGGGTCCTTGATTTGGTTTTGCCCTTCAAGACTGAACGCAGGAGAAAGACTCTCGTTACTGGGTGACGTCAGACGAAGTAAATGTTAAAACGCTGAGCTTCACCGCGATTCAAAGAAAAGAAGTTTCTCTGTTGAAACGTTTCTTCAGCGATTAAGGACATACAAAATGTGAAATTGTCCTCGTGCATCTGCTTTGGCCGCCACTGGTCCGGGTGAGTTCAGAAACTGTTGCTATGGCAACCGTCGATCAGATATGACGTCAGACAGTACGGTAGTCGATTGACGGGAGAGTGAAGTGGGAATGTCTTGTGTGCAAGAACACAATGAGAACTTACCACCCCACGTGTTACATATTCGTGGGTGTATCAGCTCTTTTCAACACGCGTTACGTGATAATCGCTTCCTGCTCATTTACTTAAATTACTTGTCGTTTCGTACAACATACAGCAAAACGTCCGTTTTCCGTATGGATTTTCTTTAGTAAACTCCACTGCTTGTTTTTAAAGGGGATGTACCTCATGGATCGGATACTAATGTAAGGGCAGGTTCTTACCAGATCAATGAACGTCGGTCCTGAAAAGCTTTTTCACTTTACGAGAAACGTTTGACACTTTGCTTTCCCGCCATTCTTTAATTTTCGTGAAACGCTCAAGAACGCTCAGCTTTTCTAACGTTCGCATCGGAAACCGGCAAGAATCGGATGACGCCGTGTGGGCCACACGAGAGACGCGAGCCCACTGAAGTGCACTCCGCTCGCCGCATGGGGCAGAGTCCCACTTGACTGACATTCGCCGCTTTTTCTGGATCGCTGTCGTGTTCACTGGACCACATCGCGAGCGACGTATCTCCAGTCTAAATTCCCACGTCATGTTCTTTAAGGTCTCTTTTGACGTCACGCCACATCAACGCAGTCGTCTCTTGCAAATGCTTCATGTCGTCCTCCTAATAAGTATGTTACAGAATCAATTCAGTAAGAATCGTAAAGTGATAAAGTGAGTTGTCTTTAAGTTCCTGTCTAGTCCCGTAAACTTAGCGCCAGCTGCATTTTAAGCCGGGACCGTGGAATAGTGAGTATTGATTATTAGGAAGAGCCTTTGACCTGAAGTCACATAACACACTCTTGCCTCGACATGAAGTCACCTGTGATCGCGGGACCCCGTGGCTGTGTCCATCTTGCAACATTTCTGGTTGGCAATCATTTCGGAAGACGGAGGAGCATCTGATCAACCTTAAAGAGAATCTGAATTGGCAGAAAGAATTGATTCGGCGTTGCTTTGCAGTAGTTAGTAAACCAGTTTAGAAGAATCGTTTTTCGATGTCGAAGAGGATAAATAACGTTCCGTGAGACACTTGTGTCTGCAGGATTACTTTTGTTGTACCAACATGCGTTTAACAGAATACCGCGTGGAATTTTGTTCCTGTGCCTTTGACCCTAAAATGAATCGAGGGCCCAAACTTCATGTGATACTTTGAGCTCCTTTTTCGTTCCCCTGCGAGCAGACTGCACTGCATTGCCCTGTTTAAATCAGCAGCCGAGGACTTTGCTTTCGACGACTGTTCCGTAGATTTGGGAGTCGAAGGAGTGCGACGACGACAACAGGTGGTGTCACAGAGTGACTGAAAAGCCAAGAAAATGATTTTCTCTCATCTCCTGTCCAAATATTGTCTTCCGCACTTCGTTCTGCGCTCCTCCATTACTGTAGGAAATGAGTTAGACGCAATTAATGTCAACGAGTCTTGGGAGGCGGTGCCATGAGATTTTAACTTGCCTTGTAGTCTTCATTGCACGACCCTAACAGCTGCGAGTTCGGTACAGATCGTGTTAAAGAGGATGTGTTGTAACATTCCTTTGTAGCTTCTTAAGAGCAGATGTTCCGACTGCGCTGTACTTCGTGCGTTAGAAATTTGTATTCGGGAAGTCAGCTGCCGTCCTCACCGAGGTTTATCGTGATTTTGCTCAGTCCACGATGCAAATGTTGGGATATTACTTCAAAACAGGCCGCATCCTTCTTAAGCTTTGGTTTTTGAATAAACTATAAATAGCTTTAACGTCCATGTTTTCGTGATTCAGTAACCACTGTTCGTGTTGCTTAACAACGCACAGGACGAAAGCCCCTGCTTCTTGTACGCAGGTTGAAGACCAGGCTACATCTCGTTTTGGCCTACGCAGTTCATTTGAAGGAAGTAATTTATGGGCGAGTTTCTATAGCAACGCGTTTCCAACGCAAACACAAAATAACAAGTTTTGCGCCTACGTAGCAGGTAAACGTGGCGATCATAAGATTGTGTTATTCATGTAATGTGCTCCCTCTGGACGTTTCTTAAGCCCAACAGTTACTGTGGGACAGCATCGATATTATTGCCTGAACGAGGTTCTCACTTCGTGGCCCGCGTACGTTTCTTGCGTCTCAGCCTGTTTGACGAAACGTAGAAATCGCTGTCCTCATAGCATTGACGACATCGGAAACAGTCACGCAGAGAATTAAGTGTGGTGAAAGAGGGAAGACTTGTTACAGCCTATTACTGCATGTGGTTGTTCGTTTGAATGCCTCAGCAAATTGAAACTACGTCGTATTACTGGGTCGTTTATTAGTGCGTGTTGTTGTTCCACAGAAGTCGTGGCCGATCCCATGCAGGATGGAGGCCATCAACCAGACGACAGGCGACGTGGACAGTGCGACGATCAGCTTGCGGGAGCAGACGAGGCTCGACTTCTACCGTACGTACGACGTGATGACGGGAGTTCGGATCGCTGCCACCCTGGGAGGCTTCTTCAGCCTGATGGTGCTTCTCGTCGTGTACAAGAGCAAGTGCAAGTCGAAGTCTCTCAGCGACGAGCACTTGAGCGCTGCGGCAGCCGCGGTTGCCGTCGAGGACGAGGAGCACCACCAGCAGCTAGCTGTTCGCGCACTGTGTATCGGCCCGCGCCGGTCGCTTGGCAACATGAGCGCCCCGGCTTTGGTCATAGCGCGAGGCGCGAGGCGCTTCTCTTCCATCGGGGGGTACTCCGCCCTGGAGCCTCCCTCCCGTTACTACTGCCAGCGGGGCAAGAGTCTTTCTGGTTCGGCGCTCAAGTTCCACATGCGGAGTGACGAGGTGCCTTCCTTTGCGACGACAGACAGAACTCACAACGACGCTGAAGGGAAAGAACAGGATTCCGTGTCGGCTAGCCCGTGCTGCTATCACCAGTTTCTGACGGTTCCATCGGGCCCGGATGTGCGTAGACTCAGTTCCATTACATGCTCAAGCTCTGATACTTCCTACCTCGAGCGACGAGGATCCGCAGTCGAAATGGGAATCCCTGCTCCTCCTCCGTTCCCTCACAGATCCCGTGGCAAAGGACGCAACGATCACCAAACCACCATGGCAGAAGAACCCTGGGACTTTTATTACCCAATAGACATCCAGGTGATTCAGCCAACGCCAGAAGTGTCGCCATGTGGAAGTGAAAGAACATTGTACGACCATCCAATGGAGTTAGTACCATCAGGACTCAGACCTCCATCACGGGGTTCCATAGCAGAGTCGGCGACGTCCAGTGTGAGTGTTCCTACAAGATTAGCTCCTCTTGCGTCTATTAGCAGTGTCGGTGGTTCCCTTACAGATTACCCGGACTTCGACGATTTGCATTCCATAGGCTCAGATTCAGTGTTTCTGGACGAGGGCAAAGAACTGGACACTGAAGATGAAGTTGAGGGTTTCTCCACCGATAGTGAAGATGATGGTTTTAATAATTATAACGATGTGCGTGGGCAAAGACGCCCTTGGGAGAAAATGGAAGGAGCAGGGTCTGCAGTACCTCTTGCACAACCTGCATCTCCCTTTCACAGGTCACTTGCACCTATCTGTCATTGGGGAGCAGAATGCAGCAATGGATTTCACTCCAGACGACACCTCTCCACCCCGGAGTGTCATCATTACCACGTCTGCAAAAACAAATCATCTCGTGCAAGAATCAGTGCTGAAGTGGTAGAGACAGCATCCCATTCTAAAAGAGTGGATCTGCTGACCTCTAGTAGGCTGTGTGAAACCCAAGTACCTGTGAGTGACATATCCCAGAGGCCACAATATCCACTTCCGGTTAAGGAAACCAGTAGCACGTCTAGCAGCGACAGCTTGACTCTGCTCAGTAACTCACGTGCAAATTCACAGCGACTGCTGGTAAACAGAGTAAGCGCTGACAAGTCTTCTTACCGAGGTGCGAAATCTTTTGAGAGCCTAACAACCACATCCATTCCTTCCTCTTCCTCAAACATGCCAGGCCTGCCTTCCTTGCCTCTGCTTAGCCGCAGCTCATGCGAACACCTCATCAGAGCTCTGAACGAGAAAACTTCAGCACCGCCAATAAAAAATTGCTCCTGGTCCCAAGAAACATTATTTTAATTGTTGAAAAATGCACCATATCCGATCTGACAGGGTCACTTTTCCAGAATATTTTTTCAGCAAAGTTCGCAGACGTTTCTGTGAAGAGAAAAACTTGGAACATCACCAACTGCGGCTGTAGTGTTTAAGTAACAAAAATAATCAGGGTCTCAAGAAATCTTTGAGTCTGAAGGAACATAATTGTGTTTTATTCACTGGTCACCCATTGTAATGAAACCTGACAATTTCCAAATATGTACATGAAGTAACCTGACGATGTAAATTATTAATTGAACGTTGAAACCCAGTCCGAAGTGCTAATATATTCCACATGTATTCTTTGTGATGTTACATACTTCATTGGCCTTAGTGTGTATATTTATTGCTGACGCAGATCTCGCAGGAGAACAATTAAAATTAATTTCTTCTTCACAAGGGGACTTCCAGATGTTAATGAGATGTGTATTTTATATTAGTGAAATTTTTGTGAGAAAATCGATAAAATTTAATTTGAGCTTCACGTGAAGCGTGGTTATATTTGACTGATACCAATCAAAATTAAACTAGTGTGACAACTTTTAACTTTGACCCCAATACCAGATTTCTTTGAAATCTGATCAGCAACTTTGTAAATGAGACGGGCGGACGTATAATAACATTACGGTTAATGAAATTCCATTCTTCATAGGGTCCCAGATAACAGGAAACATTATTTTCGTACTTTGCCACCTGGGACAGTAGTGAGTGTCTATAGCGTTATTTTTGTATGGATTTTATCAGCTTCTATTCCATGGTGCTTCTTCAAGAATTGATGAGGCATAAAGAATCAGAAGACAAATGCTGTAAACTTTGCCAAGTTGGGATAGTTCTAGATCATGCGGTGTGAAGTCTGGGAATGATCTGCTGCAGTGCGTATCATTTTCCAGTATAGGTCCATATCTTGTGTTGAGTTGGGCTGCCTATCTGCTTTGGAGAAACAATTGAAGTTTTTCAAAAATTGAAAATTTTTATAGAGAAAACGATGAACTTCTTCAAACCATACTTTCACACAGCTTTAACTTGGTGAATAGAATTTGGATGAATAATGTTAAATACAGTTCAAATTTCTAAGTACACATGAACTGAACCAAATGGAATTAAAAACCTCTCATATTGTTAGTACATTACTTTCTTCGATGTCCATTTGTCTCCTGACATTTACAGAAGTGTGTCGTGGTTGGAAGGTTTCCAGCCGTGAAAGTTATTCTCTGATATGCAGTGCTGCCTGTACAATTTTAAACCTTAATCCGCTGGGAAGCAATCAGAATAAAACACATCCCGTAGCCACTGTACCTGTAGCTGGAGTTGATGTGTACTTTTATGACTTATTCCTTGAGCCCACCTGTTTGTAGACCCTGGTGGCATTTTTGTGCTGAAACTCTAATTTTCTGCATTGCTAGAATGGAGAGGGATTTTTTTTTTTTTTGAAGAATTAAAGCAACACTGTGGACTCTAATATAATAAGTGTTCATAACACAGAATAGCAATCATAGTCCATGAAGAAATATAGTCTCAAATATTTTGAAAAAAAATTACTACATATTTAGAGATCAAAAAATGTAAGAGATGATATTACTTTTTTTTGTACTGAATTATCCCTGTGTGAAAACCTACTGTCTTTCTATGATGAGAACTAATTCTATCAGAATACAAAAGCTCAATGTCAGGTAATCAAAACTGGGTAATCCAATTCAGTTAAATCTCTATGTTGGTTTCTGCCTTAGAGCAATGTACTTTCATAATCGTGTGTGTATTTTGGTGTTTTTACATGTTTCCAACAATTCAACATGGCAAACAAACTACTGTCTGTGCTCTGTTTGTTATTAATTTATTTCAGTTTGTATGCTAAATAAATGTGGGGAATGAGGGCATGTAACTTTTGCTTAGTGACTTCTTGTAATAATAAAGTAAAGCAAATGGAGATTAGTCAGTAAGTGACAGCCAACCATGATGAACTGTAATGTAGCTTCCCAAACTTGGCAAATCAGTTTTCAATTAACTGAAACTGTCTTATTATATGGGTTACAGTAGTCTGGGGCCCAACATATTCGTTTTGCTATTAAAATTATATTGATTCCGTTTTAAAAACACAACTGCTGTCCATTTCGGCTAAACTTACCAGAGAAGAAAGTAGCACACAGTATGAAAATCAGCACATTACTTCACAGCTCTGTCATTATTATTACTGAGTATTAATGTCGAGTTGGGTGTCTTACTAATTTCAGTGAATCTGTGTACGATTCTTCACAATTTTGTATGCATTTGCCATGACATCACTAATACAGTATACTCCTTAATCAATAAACTTTATTTGTTAAAAGTGAGTCAGATGAAATCTTATTTCTTCTCCCATTTTTCTATAGTTGATGCAGCAAGGAATTTGGAAGGAGGTTATACTGTTTCTCAAAATACTTATTTTTGCAAATTGTTTAAATGACCACCAGCAGTTGCCAGTTTCGTGATGCTCTTAGTAAATACTGAGAAAGGAACGATTTTTACAAAGTATTACATTTATTTTCCTAAAAGAAGTTGTGTAGTGAAAGCCTATGTGAGTATAACAAAATATATTATAGTGATATTAGTGTGTGTGTGTATACACATACACACACAATATAAATTCAATATCATTTATGAAACTGTTAACAGAGCTAAACTGTGTAAATGCCTTCATTTTATTGTAGAAGACACCATAAATATTGTATAAACGTTAATGCTAATAAATTGAAAATAAATGTTATATAAATGCTAATACATTTCACAGCAAACTTTGTTCAGTGTTATGTGTGTTTTGCCTAGGTCCCTTTGTATGTCTCACAGCAAGACAGTGAAATGCAGACAATGGAGGAAAATATGAATTAAAGGATTAGTTTTTACACCAATGGAAGCTTCATTGCTTCAGGATGTGGGAATGCAGTATTTAGATTATAGAATTTCCACATTCATTTAGGATCCCAGTAGTTTTCCTTGACATTCTTAATTTTCTTCAGTTGCATATAAATATTTCTCTTCCTTAATTTACTGCCTTAGATGTTCATAATCAAAATATTTTTGAAGGACCATATGACTTTGATAAATTCAACAGCTTACTTTCTGGGAACAATTCTGCCCTAATCAAGTTTTTTTTTCATGGTTACAAAATAAAATTGTGAATGGCAGGACAGGAGAAGTGTTTCCTTTTTGTTATTTTACAATGATTGTAAATTCCGGGCAAGTTGGAGCATTATATTACTATGTTTTGCTCACAGCTTAGCATAATTTATAACAAGTACGAGAAATCCATAACGCCTAATTTGTAATTGGCGCACGTGTCCCACACCGCCCCTTCCAATACGTATTTTTATGGATCAGAGATGACAGTTCACATTCATACGGTCGAGGGTGTGCTGGTAGGATCTGTGGAAGTAGCGATCCGTTGGACCTTGCAAATGAGAAAATAGGAAAGATGGCAGCCGTGTGGAGATAGCTAAGTTAAATCAATGCAGCATAATTACCAGTTTTATTGCCTGCAATGTCACGGTTGGCGGATTACTTCGTAATTGTAGGCTACGATCATGAGAAAGAACGTAAGTAAATAAGCAGTAGGACTGTTATTTTACTAATATGTTGGCTGCTTCTTGGACACTGTCAGATTTATTTTAGGATTAATTCAGCATGTAAGGTGGTTTGAAAAGTTTGATGTTTTCAAAGAGGCACCAAATTAAAGATAGGCGTTGGCGTTCCAGATGGTGGTACCATTTGTGGATAATTGTTTAATAGTGCTCGCCACATTATTGTTTATTTTATTCTTTTGTAGGAAGTGGGATAAGCAGTGGAATTATCTTGCAGAGATTCCCAGAGAAGGATTGGAGTGATACACCATTCATTGAAGGCATAGAATGGGTAATAAAACTTGTAATTTAGAAATTATTTTCTAATGTATTGTTTAAGGAGAGAGTATTTTCTTTATTTGATATGTCTTTAATATTTCATTAAGTGGAGAGATGTGTTACAGTTTTGTCAGCCACAAGGATGGGCTCTGTCAACAGAGCGTCAGGAACCACGATTCTTTGTGTCTGTTTTGACAGACATTGATGCAAACAGACATTACTGCGCTTGCCTGTGTTTCAATGAAACAATTGCCATCACACCCAGCAAACCTGTTGATGAGGTAATTTTGTTGTTGTTAACATATAGTATGCTGCTTGAACTTTTGTGGATGAATCACGTGCTGTAACTGGTGCATTTTTAATGTGTTGTGACGATTTATGTTTGCTTGCTGTGTGACTGCATTATAAATTTGGGTAATTGAAATGACAGGGCCAGTTGTAATATAATCTGATGGTTGTTATTCACATTTGGACATATGAGTTGTATGTAAAACATTTTGTATCCTGTGAAAGTCATCAAGACATATTTTGATCAGGGTTTATCTTAGAATGCCTTGAAATATGTTTTACATATAAAACATTTAATTTAATATATGTAATTACAGGAAGAGGATACTGTTGATGGGGAAAGTTCTCATCCTCGTAGCCTGACGGGAAGCCTTACACGGAGCATTGCTACAATAACACATCACAGTATCATGTATGCTCCAAAATGTTTAGTGCTTGTTTCAAGGCTAGACTACATTGAAACATTCAGGGTAAATACATTCTTATCATGACATCTAAACCCATGTATCTAATACAAATTTAAATTTAATTTCTCTGACACACATGGCATAATTACAAGGCATAAGCAAGGTCTAATTCAAGTGAGTGGTAGCCTTGCTAGTTATCAGAAAGGTGTTAAGTTGTGGTACAAAAGTATTTAAACCAGCATTGGAAGCTTATCTTTTGTCTCACTCTTTATAGTCTAGAGGAATTTAGTTTAATTGAAAATTATTAAATACCATAAATATTTGTTTAAACAGCCGTAATAAGAATGCAATTGCAATTTTGTTTTGGTATTTTATTGTACAAAATGTTCATAATGGGACATGTTCCACATCCTTGGCTTATGATATGAAGGATCGTCAGAATGTAAATAAATTCTAATTCTATCACAATAAATTAAAAGAGCATAAATCAGCACATCTTCTAGTGCCAGGACGTTTAATTAAAATTAAAATTAGAAGCAACTGGGATACGTCTTTGTTCAAGACAACCAGAAAGTGTTCAGAATGTTACTTTGTGATAGTTAAACCGGTAACAGAACTGATATTGGCCCAAAGGACAGAATTGCTTTGCAGAGTTGAAACACTATTTTTTTATGGTAAAGTAAAAACTATAAAAGGTTTGAGACTGTTGGAATTAAGTACGTAAAGACAAATTGTCAATCAGGTAAAGTAGATAAATTGCTGTATGAACAAGACATGACTTTGGAGAGTGTCTTACACCATTTGCTTATTATCATCTGCTCAGTGAAGTGAAGGAATGATATAGTTTAGTAAGATACGTCCAGCTCGGGTTAAAACAGTGCTTGAAAATTTACAGAGTTGCCTGGGAATCATCTATACTGTGTATGTGGAAAACATCGGAGTTCCATTGGAGACATTGGTGGGCAACATTCTGGGATGTATTCAAGTGCCACCACCAGGAGGCCCACAGGTTCGCTTCAGTATTGGGGCAGGGGATAGGCAAGCACTACAGCCACCAATAAGTCCTTCATTGCCTGTTACTCATACAGCAGTGAATCTCTTATTTCAGCAATTAGGTGAGTAAAGTAACATACCAATAATAACCATTTAATTATGCTATAGTACAAATTAACTATTTTTACAATCTGTCTGACATAGTAGAACAGACAACATAATATATTGGATTGGATTCCACCTTTTATTATTTATAAAATAAAAACCTTGTCTCAAACCTTCCTTCCTTCCTTGAAGAAACAACTTCACCTTTTATTTCTATCAGACTACACAGTGCTACAACCCAGAAGACAGCCATGTTGTTTTATTTGTCTCATGGGGCAACCACTCTTCAGGGGTGCATTGTTATTAAATATTGCCTCAATATATAGTTGAACCTTTATGTTTCTAGTCTCAGTATGTAAAATATTTATAATTTTTCCTACAAAAAAGGGACTTTACTAATATACCCAATTTTAAATGAATATCTGAAATGCAGAACAACACAACTATCCACTCAAATATTTCGTATGATGCTGCTCTCAAAGGAGTTGTCAATATACAACTTACATTTAAACAAATTTGTTACACCAGATCAACATAAAGTGTCATCCACGTAATGCCTCTAGATTTGTTCGGAGTAGTCTTTCATTGAGTTTATGGTTCTACACTGGGTCCAGTTGCCAGAAACTTATTTCCTCCATGAAGTATTTTATAGATAAACTTGTGATAGGAATCCTCTAGCACAGGGGTTCCCACGATGTTCGACTTGAGATGAATTGATATATATACCGGAGAGTGTTGAACTCCAGAAATAGAGCTGGGTTAGAAACCCATTTGATGGCATACACGGATTTCAAGAAAAACTTGCCCATCTCCAAGAAAGTTAAATTCACGAAGTGGAGAAAAAAAGAAAGAAAGGATTTCTGTGTTCAAGCTTTTGGGCTCACCTCAGAGATAAACCGATTCCAAACTGGAAAGATGAAAAAATTTTGCTCCATCTCCTGATGACATACCTCTGCAAAGCACGAATTTGAAACCTTTTAGTGATCAAGACTGAGAAAAGAAATAGGCTTGATCGTCAGCATGATATGCGTTGTACCCTGGCTATCAGTGTTTAGCCTGGATTTTACCAGCTATTGAAGATATTACAAGAGCTTCATGGAAACCAATATAGTTGAAGGATTTTTTGTAATTGGGAGTTTTGATATCAATTTCTATATTATTAATTTAGTAAATAAAATAAATGTTGCTGATCATTGTTTTAGTTTATTTTTGTAACTGTAAATGCACCTTTATTCTTACGACAGTTAACGAAATATAATACTAGTATATTTATAAAAAACTTTTGTTTCTATGTAAGACTTGAGGCTCTCACAGCAGTGAGTATGAAGATTTCCGTCTTCTGGGTTGTTGCGCTGTGCAGTCACAGCGCAACAACCCAGAAGACGGAAATCTTTTGTTTCTATGATTTGTCCCTAATTGGCAAACTATGTCATCAGATGGAAGAATTTTTAAATGCTGGTTTGCAAACAAAAAGGTTGGGAGTTGCTGCTCTGGCATCTAGTGGATCCACAGTCCAAATACTGGTCATCTCTGATCCTTTACCGCTATATCAAGAAAGGCGCACATATTTGGCCACTCAACAGAGAAATAAAAGTGATCGTAGTCAGCACGCGTGCACACAGACATCTCAATTCCTTGTTTATGGTGTTAGTAGGATATACAGTTTTTTGAAATGTCAGGCATTTTGTATTATAATTTATGCTTTACTTCCACGAGTGAAATTGCTTTTTGTGTTGTTTTCAGGTATTCGTAATGTGCTGGTATTGTTTTGCGCTATTATGACTGAGCACAAGATCTTGTTTCACTCAAAGAGCTATGCGCGCCTGACGGAGGGATGCCGGGCCCTGACGGCTCTCATGTACCCATTCCGTTATACTCACGTTTATATTCCGCTGCTGCCTGCTGCATTAGTTGAAGTCCTTTCCACACCAACCCCTTTCATCATGGGTGTCCATTCTTCCCTTAAAGCTGAAGTTGCTGAACTGGTAAGTGTAAGCTCTTGTTTTTAGGACTACCTACATATGCAAAACCTCATATTTGTAGTATTATTTGTTGTTTTACATGTACAGATTTTCATGAACTCTTATGTA